GATGGCTGGGTCTGCCTCCTCCCGGGGCAGCGCTTGCAAGTTCACCACCTTATCCCTAAAAGGCGTGGTGGGAACTTTGGGCACATATCCAGGCCGGGGTCTCAGGACAACGTGAGAGTTACCTGTTCCGAATTCTAGGCACGAATCGTCGACCGAAAAATGCCTGCAGGTTCCTTACCCTCTTGACCGAGGCCAATGCGGAGAGGAGCACTACTGTCTTCAACGACAGAAACTTAAGCTCTACCGACTGCAGAGGCTCAAAGGGCTCCTCCTTCAAGGCCGTCAGGACCGAGGGGAGATCCCAAGAGGGTAACAGGTGAGGGCGCGGAGGATCTAACCTCCTTGCCCCTCTGAAAAACCTGATGACCAAGTCCTGGAAGGACCCCAGGCAGTTCAGCATCGACTGTGCATGCTCTACTGAGAGACGTGCTGAGAGGTTGACCGAGTCCAGCTCCATGCCGAGAAAAGAGATCCTCTGCACCGAGGAGAGTTTGCTCTTTTCCCAGTTGACCCAAAGCCCCAACCGGCTGAGCACCGTATCCCTGTGTTCGCACAACTGCGCTCGGGACTGGGCCAATATGAGGTCTCGTCCGGGAACACCAGGTGGTGCGACATGCCAGAGACATACTCGACGGTGAAGCTCTCACCGTGATCCTCAGGTCTCCCTGACCATGAACCGAAGTAGCCCTCCGAGAACCGGAGGAGCTAGAGCGGGGCATGTCAAGGGGTTTACCCCGTTTAATGAGGAGGTATCTAGACCGCAACGTCGCGATGGTCATGTTCCCGCACTGAGAACATGACTCATCCATGAGCGCTGCTTCAGTGTGCTGTAAGCCCAGGCACAAGACACAGCGATCATGACCATCAGATGAAGCCAGGAAGAGACCACATCCAGAAACACACGAGCGGGAAGCCATCTTTAAAAAAAGACGCCCGTCGCTCGTGAAGCTCTTTTAGAAATTGCTCTTTTTTTGAAAAGGAAAAACACTCTTTTAGAGAGAGCGCTGAAGCGCCCAGGGGAGGTCGCGGCGAGACCGCAGAATGGCAGCTGCAGCTCGCCGAGGTTTCAGCAGCCTGGATGGCAACCCCCGCTGTCACGCCGTAACACCAACGCCAGCTGTTTCCAAACACCCACGGAGGTTCGTCTTGTAGAAGGCTCGGCTCCGAAGTGAAAAGCTGATGTGCATTTGTACGTGCTCTCCTTTTATACCCGCGCTGCGGGGCGGGGTGCGCGTGGCGAAACACTCACGCCAACTGTCATTGGCTTGTTTAGTTTACACTCTAAGGTGATTGGGCTCTCGGGCGAGATCCCAATTCGTCAGTCACGACTGACGTAACGTAGAAAGTGACTGACTGAAAGGGAACCATGTTTACATACGTAACCTGAGATGATTTATTTGAAACAGTTTTATTTAACAATTTAAAAGTCTTGTAACTTTTCATTAAATGAATCCATCTTTTTTGTATAAACATAATTATTCAAACAATAAATGTTTAAAATATTGAAAATGTTTATAAAACAAACAATGACCAATTATAACCACATTAGAACATATTTCACCCAAAAATGTAAATTCTGTCATTAATTACTTACCCTCATGATGCTCCAAACCCATAAGACCCTTTTGTGAAACAATGAAAATAGTATGTCTTTATTCACAAATTGTGTATCTCCAATGCATTTTCACAAAAGCAGCATGAGATGGCCAGCTCTCACGCCAACGCAACACTGATGCATCATGGTGCTCTCGTGAACATGTTATTTTGTAAATAAAAATGCAATGTTTTTTTGTGCACAAAACATTCACATTACTTCATAAATTGAGGTTAAACAACTGGAGTCACATGGATAACTTTAATGATGACTTTACTACCTTTCTGAGGCTTGAAAGTAGTAGTTGCATAAACTGTGAAATGGAGGGGCAGAAATTTCTCAGATTTCATAAAAAATATTTACATTTATGTTTCAAAGATGAACAAAAGTCTTACAGGTTTGGAATGACATGAAGGGGAGTGATGAAAATTTTTGGTTTAACTAACACATTAAATCGGTTCCCTCAGGGGCACCAGTAGATATCTGCCTGATCTCTGATCTTCTTTTCTCCAGCATCTAAAGTGAGAAAGAAAACAATAACCAAAATGTAAATGTAAAAATAATAATTAAAAAAATGGTTGTCCAAAATATAAAGTATACACTTGAGTTTTCCCTAATTTTAGGGCATTTCCACCTCAGGGCACAAAAGAGTGGGGACTTACAGGATAAGAACAATTTTCTAGAATTTCCAACACAGTTTTTTGTCACTTCCTATACAGGGCTCCAGACTGCAACCAAATAGTCGCATTTTGTGACCGTTTTTTTTCTGCTGGTGCGACTAAATTTGGTGAGCAATCACACTAGCACAACCATTACGTTGCCCCACCTCATAAGTGCTGCTATTTCTGTTGCATATGAGAAACATCAAACAGCAAGCGAAACAAAAGCTAGAGAAACCACGCTACTCGTTTGAGCTGTCCAGCGCAGACCGTTTATCAGCTCGGATCAGCGCAGAGCAAACAAACTTCTCCGAGCTCAGAACAGGTTTACTCAGGAAGCAGTGTTGATTTCGCGACACTGTTACTGCACAGTGCTGCGAGATCCAGTGAGAAGCACTTGAATTTGCTGCAGAATGAATATAGGTTGCTGTGAGCTCTAGTGAGAAGCATTCAAATTCTGCACAGAAATCTGTTGTAAACAGGTCAAACAGCACTGACATATAACCAGAAGTAGTAACGCTAACTATAACCATGCTGTTGTGGCAGAAATAGTTTAATTTCATTACATTATGCATTTCAGGGTTTGTACAACCTTTTGAGAGAGAAATTCAAGCACTTTTAAATATTTCACACAACTATTTACAGCACTTTAAAACTGTAGAAAGCATACAATTAAAATGATATTTTTAAAGGGATGACATACTTTGTGGTAAACAAACACTTTTGTAAAATAAAAAAGGGGGCATCAAATTACCACTATAACTAGTAGATGGCAGCAGATGAACACTTATAGGCTTATTAGTCATTCATTTCTACTTTTTACTTTATATTTTGAAATTATAAAATCACTATTATAACATTTTAAATCAAGAAATCTAATTTTGTAAAAGTTTTGCTTTTTTTTTTTTGTATGAAGTAAGAAAAGTCACCAAGTGCCTTGAAAAACAAACTTCTCTGACTGAATCACATATAAAGCAAGAGAGCTTCTTTTATAATCACTGAAGTTGTTGGTCAGTTCCGTATAATACTACAGAAGAATAATGGTACATTTCATAAGAGTAGAATATGTTAATTTTCTATTTAAAACTTACATTTTGCACATTACTGTTGTTAATAAAAGTAAATTTTGTGCTTCCCAACTCAAGCTCAGTGCTTTACTGTCAAATGTGCATTACCAAGAAATATATGTGTAATCTTACTAGTAACTACACTCATTAATGCAAAACTATAATAATTTTATGATTTAATTATCTTTATTTTTAATACCGCCCACACACCACCCCCAGCGTTACCAAATCAGCTTCTGGCGCCACCATCTGTAGAACTTAGTGGCGCTGGTGCCACTGCTCTCAAAAGTTAGTCTGGAGCCCTGCTATATATGCATTACAAATGTGGTACAATTAAAATTACTATGCAAGTACTAAAAAAGTCAGCTGTTGAAATGTTAAAAGGATAGTACATAAGAACCGTACCAAAACGGTGACTCTAAAACGGTTATAAAAACCAAACCAAATATAGATACTGAGAATGTATTTGACATTCAAAAAAATTAACTTACACAGCAAAAGATGCAGTGACCTGTGGCTGAATAGCCTTTGGTTTTATTTAGCTGTGATTGACACACAAACAAAAGGGGGGAAAAAAGATAATAGCATCACTGAATATGAGTCAAATATTGCATATTTCTGTACAAATTAAAGTGTACTCGTTCTTCATGAGTGATTATTAACTAATCAGTATATCAGGGATTCTCAACTCTGGCCCTCAAGATCAGCTTCATAGTTCGCTAGGTTGTGAATTAATATATTGTGTACACGAATTCAGGCACTGGTAAGGACAGTGGCATACTACACACTGGTGACTATTTCCATCCTCATTGTACAACATCACTACTGGCATTTATGCACAACAGTAAAACTGATATCTTTTTTTAATGCTATTTACAGCACATTATGATAAATACTTTGTTACATGTATGTGCAAGATTTCAGTCATAAATACATATTTGCTAGATTAGACATTATCAGTTTAGTGATGTATGTTTATGCTGAAATATAATATTGGTTTGTGTTTTAAAATCTATCACGTGTCATTTTGTAGCGAATTATCTCAAGTTTTGAGCTTCAGAACTTCCTATAAGGGAACATAGTGAGCATTGATGCTTCCTGGTTTTCACAACTTTTTTACGGAGCAAACAAAATTTTGTGATTGAGACAGCCCTTAACCACTGACTACTGAGCAAGGGACCTGAGTGATTCACACCCAGAGTTTAGGTCCACACCTGATCACACACACCTGTTTGTGACTTTATAGTTAGTAAAACTGAAAACCTTGATTAGTTTGTTCAGGTGCACTGCACTAGGTTGGAGCAAAACTCTGCATGTAAGTGAACCTTGAGAGACAACGTTGAGACCTCCTGCAATATATTCTGAACATGACAATTCAGAGAGGTAGGATGACTGCTAGATTGATGACTTACAACACTGGTGTCCAGTCCTGGGCATGGAGGACCAACGTTCTGCAGAGTTTCTGGTGATCCTTGATCAGCTGCTCAGGTCCGCTTAATTGGGGTTGGAGCTAAACTCTAAAAAAAAAAGAGATAAAGAAGACAACCAATATTACGATGTTAAAAAGTTAAACAAAGTTAAAGTTAAACATTTTGATTCATAAAATGCACAACATCTGAAAATGCACAAAGATGAGAACTTTCAACCCACTGAAAAATAAGAAGCAGCATTAAGTTACAGATGCATTTTCATTTATTCTTGTTATTCTTAGGTCACTTTGTCGCATCCAGTGTAGACACGGTGTGAGAGTGTGTAGCTTGGAGATCTACGTCACTGTGCATTGCATTCTGGGTATACAATACAAATCACCAGAGGAAAAAATGACTATTTATGTTAATATTTTTAAGAACTTCTTGCATTTTATTAGAATAAATGGATTAATATTCGAATCCCTTGTGTTATTAAAGTTTGTGGTCAGTTTTTTATGTTTTTGAGTCTCTTATGTTCACCAAGAAAACTGCATTTATTTGATCATAAATAAAAACAGTAATGTTGTGAAATATTATTATTTAAAATAACTGTTTTCTATGTGAATATATTGTCAAATGTGATTTATTCTTGTTTTCGCAAAGCATGATTTCTGAAGGATCATGTGACACTGAAGACAGGCGCAATCAACATATTTTATGTTCCGTCCATTGCCATTCACTGCTATTTCGAGAGTGAATCCCGCATAAATATGCGGATGTCATTCCCAAAACTTTCCAGGGTGTAGCCTATGTGTCCGAAAAATGATTATTATACCCTAGAAAGTGTGCAATTATACCCTAGAAAGTGTGCAAAGCGCGCTCCCTTTATCACTAAAAAGCGTCACTCATCTTCGTTCATCGCGATCTTACAAAGTTCTGTTATAATCAATGAAGCTTTCTAAGCTGCACAATGAATCTCTTATTTACATCGCGTGTGCACTTAGTCATGAGATGATTCACGAGCGTGCAAAGCTGCACTTAAAAACTGTGGCACTTTCAGCGGTGAGTGAATTCTGATAAAACGTTTCTGATTGGCCATTGCGTTCAAGAAATCAACAGATATGTCTGTGATTGGTTACATTGCTCAATGCTGCAAAAACACGTTGAGGGTATTTAGCACTTGGCTAAGCGCTCCAATTGCAGTGGGGACGACATCAGGGATTCCGTGACTAACAATTTGTTAGTCCTCCCCCTCCCCCTAATGTCACCCATGGTGGTGAGCATAAAAGACTTCTTTCAAATACATGACAAATCTGACCCTTAAACTTTAGGTAGTGAATGTTTGAGGTATTACTTACTAGTCATATGGTTCATAATGTCTAGAGATGTCCTTCGACAGGAGATACGCTCCAACTCTAGTGCACGGCCATCAGCATGGAAGAATCTAGGAACATAAACAATCTGAAACAATCAGAGTCAACAATATTTATTATATAATGCCAGGTTTATTATAAATAAACTATAGCAGATGGGAAATGCAGAAAAGAAAAATAATAATTTACAGAACATACAAAAAAAGGATTTAATAACAGAATGTACATTTTTAGGTTTACTTATTTAGTAATGCTCCTACAGTGTGACTTATGTTTGGACATCAAAGCCCTTTTAAAATAACTAACAAGCAAACAAACACACACACATATATATAATTTATATATAAAATATATTAATAACAAGCAAACAAACAAACAAACAAACATATACCGTTATATAATTTTGCAAAAGAAAATGACAGATGCATGGTGATATATGCGAAATATGTTGTGAAAGATGCATATAAAGTTATTTAATAAGCTTTCTCAGATCACCTGTGTTTTCTATATCTCTGTCAGCAGCTCCCTTCAGAAATGTTAAAATCAGGAACTTCTCCGGTGTCGTAGAGTTGTTGTTTTTTTCGCTTCTGAAATCACAGAACAAGTGGTATCAATATGTGTTTACCATGAAAGATCAAAACCTGTTTTAAAGAGGTCATATGACGTTGCTAAAAAGAACATTATTTTGTGTATTTGGTGTAATGCAATGTGTTTATGCGGTTTAAGGTTAAAAAAACACATTATTTTCCACATAATGTACATTATTGTTGCTCCTCTATGCCCCGCCTTTCTGAAACGTGCCAATTTTTTACAAAGCTCATCGGTCTGAAAAGCGAGGTGTGCTCTGATTGGCCAGCTATCCAGGGCGTTGTGATTGGCCGAATACCTCAAGCGTGTGACAGAAATGTTACGCCCCTTACCA